TAGAAAGAAAAAAATTATTTAAAAAAATTAATATTTTTTTATTTTATTTTCAAAATATCGACTAATTTGTTTTTTATTTTGGACATGGATGTCCAAAATATGGATTTGGTTTAAACAATACTAATAGTTAACCGGTTTTTAATAATCAGATTTAGATATGAATATGGATAATTCAAGAAATCAGTTAATTTGAACATACCTAGTTGTGGTGCTTGGAGATTAAGATATCAAAGCATATCTTTAGAAGAAAACACCTTGTGTCAAGCGGCGTTCAGTGGAGTCGGTGAAGATTTATGATGAAGTTGTCTATCTAATGATGGTGTCTATAATGAAGAGTTATCTCAATCGTCATAAGGAAGAAGATTCAAGATTTTTGTGAAATTCTAAAGTCAAAGATAATGTAGCAAACCCTAATAATTGATTATTAGGTCCCTTAGACGACTATGAATGATAACAAATTCTAGCATATATCCAATATCGGAGTACCTTCTCTATGAGGTGAAAAACCTATGAACGATGAATGAATATAGTATCACATTAGAGTTACTAGATCGCAACGAAGTAAGCCAAACTCCAAATGCAATATTATCGGAGGTTGAAGCAAATACAACCACAGATCATGTTATACACCATTATGGTGCAAAGGGAAACATATTTTGATTTAACTCTACCATACATATTATCACCATCGAAAGTCAAAACAATGTGATATTCGATAGCGATTCATCAATTGTAACACCTCGTTCCCCTAACACTTGGATGTTGAGTTAAGAGACAGAGATATGGATGCACGAACACTTTCAAGGAATAAAGAAGCTCCATGATTCATAAGTATAAAACTTTTGGCTATAACTTCTGATCTAATGCTACCGAAGTACCAGACTTCCATCGATCGGAACCGAGCGTTCAAGATAATAGAGATCCTTTGGTTTCCCATAGCTTTATAACTTGCTATAGAGGAACAAGGAAGATTATGCCCTTCACTAGGAATAGTACGCGAGGAAAAGACACTTTGGGCTCCCAATGACGTTGAAGCAAAGTATCATCAAGGACGCCTTTGGTGGCACTTTCATTTAACTCTATGATCAGTTTTGCTGACCCATTACGAGGTAGTATTACAAAGAAGGAGACCAGACCCAAATTCACACGGACCAAGGAGGGACTCGGTTAAGAAGCCCCTGAGAAACTTTATCTTCATATAACAATACTCCCAGCTTAGTCGAGATACGACCTGACCCCGAGAGACAAATTCCTGCACCCCGTAAGTACGCTACCAATTAAACTGTAAAGGATCATGAAAACGTCTACCTCTATGTAAAGGGAGACAAATATTCCGCCATCCATCTATTTAGAAGATCTAATACTAATAGAGAAGAGTGTCTTCGAGCTATTTGTAGACATAATCGAGAGTCTGTAGTCATCAAAGCACAACTTCTACGAAGACAAAAATTGTCCCATGGAATCCGTCAAGTAAAGATGCACAGAAAAATCCAAGGTGGATTATCGCCCCATCGATCGAGAAAATGAAGAGAAGGCTGCCTCGGTCAACAGAATCGTCTATCGAGGAATAGATAAAAGGTAATATGACATTATATACTTATAACTTCCCTTATGGCTTAAATACTGTATAAAGCTCATTGCTTAATTTCAATAATTATTTTGTTAAATATGAAATAATACGATCGCAAAGAGTCGTGTAATTCCATGCAGGATGACATAAGTCACTCTCTTAAGACAGATTTCACATTTAAGGAAAACTTTTCTCAATGTAACTGGTACACCCTCTCTTAGAAGCTAGCCACTTAAAGAGTGCAAGCGGTGCATCCCTAAGACATTTACTCAAACCAAGTTTACCCTGGGGAAATGGAAGGAAACTTAGCTTTGAGTGGGGGAAGGTTCCTAGTAACTTAGAAGAATAATTCTAACTCCTCTCAATTAGAGCTAGTAACCATGAAACTCCAATTGAGACTACAGAGTTCAAAGAGCACGTTGGAAACCTCTACGTAACGAGCCCCTACTCCTAAAAGGAAACGTCGTGAGGGTTTTCACACTTAAATCTGACAACCCTTTAAATCTGTTGTGGTGCAGATTTATATTCGACCGATGGAAAACAACGATGCCCACAAGGCAGAACAAATCCAAATTACCCACGGGGAAAACAAATTTTGAATTGTAGGGACGAAGAGCATGCTCTGATGAAATAATAACTTGCTAATAAGTTCCAAAGTGAAGACACTCGTACCACATCAGTGGTAACAACCGATGATAAAGAAGGAACAAATGTAGGTAAAGTGCACAAAATTATATGTAACTAAAAAATAATTAGGTAAGAATATCTCCATATAAACATTGTTATCATAGTCAAAGCATAAAATCCTAGAAAATATTAGAGGAAAAATAAAATGGGAAAATTAATCAAGCTTTTGTGCCTAGAGAAGGTGCGCTTTGATCACCTCCAGAAGTCCCCTCTGGAGTAGCCTAAAAGGGGTTCAATCTTTCAAAATCGAGTGCACTATAAGCAATGACATACTCTAGTTAGTCACTTCAGCCCACGTATCAGAAATAAGCAACAAAACATTTCAATGACAAAAAAGCATTTAATGTGCTTGTTCCTCATTACTTTTTCAACTAACTCCAAATGTTTCACGTCTGAGTTCAAAACAGATGACATCCTTGAAAGTCGTCCACGAACATTAAAGACTTCCTCGGCTCCCTAAGCGCCCGATAAACATTTGGGGCAACTGTTATGAGCCAACCAAAGGCTCAAATTGCACAGACCCAATCCACATGACCCAAGGTATAAAAGTCACCTCACACAAAATGCAAAGTATATTTTATGATCTCCATTATTAACTACACTTATCTTGAATCTTGAATAGACTTAGGCGTCATAGTGCTAACTTTACAAGTCCATTCTCACGCCATCGTATCGGAAATCAACACCACCGACTAAGGATTCATTACAATCAAATTACACTCTATTTCTGATTTCAGTACAAACCAACACACATGCGCGCGCACACACACGCACACACACACACGCGCGCGTGCGCGTATGTGTATGTGTGTGTGTATGTGTCTATATATATATATATATATATATATATATATATATATATATATATATATATATATATATATATATATATATATATATATATATATATATATATATATATATATATATATATATATATATATATATATATATATATATATATATATATATATATATATATATATATATATATATATATATATATATATATATATATATATATATATATATATATATATATATATATATATATATATATATATATATATATATATATATATATATATATATATATATATATATATATATATATATATTTGGTTGTTATATATATTTATAGAAGATTTTCTTTTAAATAGTAAATAATAACTTGGTAATTTGATTTTTTTAAATTTGAGATATTTGAATTTTAGAATTCTTTTATTTGGTTATAAAATTATTGATTTCTTTATATATAAAGATTAGACCATGTTTTTTTTTAAAAATAGAAAAGCTTAGATTTTTTATAAATTTATTTATTTAAAAAAATTAGACCTCAAGTTATAAGAAATTTTTTTAAAATTTATCAAAATTGAGCTATTTAAATAATATGAATAGTTTTATGATTATAATTCTATTGTATATTGTATTTTGGATTAAAATACAAAAATAAAACTTAGTTATCTCGAACAACATGTGAAAATTGACTAAAAACATTTTATAAACTATGTCATAAATTGTTTTAAAATTTTTTCTATACAAATAATATCATAAAATTTATATTACTAAATTAATTTAAATAAATCAAAACAAACAAACTTTTCTATTATTGATCGTTTAATTTTTTTAAAATATATAAACATTAATTAAATTATTTATTTATGTATGCTCAAATAAAATATATTTTTATATAGGTTAAAAAGAACAATTAACTCTTAAAAAGACCATATTTGATCTTTAAAATAAGTCTATAATATATAGTACATATTAGACTTAAACTTATATATAATTATAATTTTATATATTTCAATTTTATTAAACTAAGAGCAACTTTAGTGCAGGGTTGTTAAACCAAAATTTTGTATAGTTTATGTTAGTAATAAAGAATTTGAATTATAGTAGAGCTGACATGACATCTAAGTGAACTAAAATTTATTTTTTATTATCTATATAGTTAACGTTAACCATGTGAAATATATTATAATATTATTTATTTAATTAATAAAATATTCCAACAACATTAAAGTAATGGCATGATATTTGAAAGTAGTTGGACCAAGTTTTGGTTTCTTATAGACAACAATCATTAAAGTAAAAATTACTCAAATTAACTATAAATTTTTTAAATCTTACAAAACACTTTGGGCCCACAAAAAATATCTTAGTTTATTCATTTAGTTTACTCTCATTAAAGATGCTATAATAGTTTCTTGTAATTTTTCTAAAAATATTATTTTATTAATTTTATATTTTATTGATTTATATGATATTAAACTAATCGTTTCCTTATTCATCCTTAGAACTTAGAAGTCCAATGGTGGATGCAAAGCAAACATTAGATGTAACCTTCAAGTTTCAACTTTTTCCTCATTTAGTTTCTTTCTCATCCTACGTGTATCTCTTGTCTTTATTTCTCATTAATTAATTCTCATTCTAGAAAAAAGATAAAACCACACTCTTTATTCACTTTTTTTTCTTCATTTGTCGGCTTCATTATTCTCTTAAATTTCACACACACAAATCGATCATCATTTTATTATTTTCTGATTTTCTTTTCTTTTTTTCGCTCTCACTTCTTTCACAAGTAACAAAGCCTCTACTCCTTAACTGAATTTCATAATCTCAAAGAGTGAGTGAGTGAGTGAACATTGGCTATATAACAAGACATTCTTGTATGATTCATAGGTTGTTGTTGGTTTTTGATTTTCGATTCTGAGGTGAGTTGTTGTTGTTGTGGGAAGAAATGCGGCGTCGGGCTGCCGAGTTTCGGCGCCCGATTCGACGGAAGTTGTCTTATGGGATCTGCTTTCTTCTTGGAGTGTTCTCTGTTGTCGGTTTGGTTTTGTTTTTTCTTCAGCATAATTACTATGAAGATCGGCTCAAACATCCTCTTCTGGTACCGACATTACATCCTCTCTTTTTATGTTTTTTTTTGTTTGTTGATGCAAATACCTCTAAAACCTTTATATGGTGGTTGTCACAGTTACGGTTGTTATAGAATATAATCTATCACACCTCTCAAAAAAGACTGCCCGTATCTGTCTCCATGTTGGATACCTGATATTTATAATTATATTTATTTTTTTCATTTTTAAAAATAATTTTTGTTTGAGGTGTCTGTGCTTCATAGGACTCACTGGTTTGTGGAGGACTATTTTTTTTTTTATATCTTGTTTTTTCAATCAATGTTATTCATCTTATGGATAATTTTGTTTGAAATCAATTCATTCATCTTGATGATTTTGTTGGTGTTGTTATAGCAAAATATGAAATGTATTTGGTCAATGTGGAACAAGATCATCTTTGAGTACAATATTGTAGTTTTAATTTGTGTCACTTGCATAGGTTTTGTATCTATGAACTGAAAAATTCCACTCTGATGAGTTCGGATTTTTCCAATTTTTCAGAGTCACTACTTTCATATAGCTGAACTCATTGGAGTCAATTTCTGTAAAAAATTGTTGATTTGATGATTTCAGATGTTGACTGATATATGTTAAAATTTGTGGATTTTTTTTTCTAAACGCATTGTTTTGATCATAGTAATGCTATCGATGGACGAGCTATTGGTTTATAAGAATCAATTGAAACTATTTCGTGTTCGCTAACCGATTCTGAGAAATGGTTATAGCTTATACAATTTGTGATTCCTTGTAGAATCTGGCCATCATTCTTCCAACATCATTTACGATTTAGGTGATATTGTGCTTTTGTTCTTACCGAATAAGTTACTTATTGCAGGAGAGAAACAAAAATGTAGAACATTTTGCTACGGATAGATTGAATTTTACCGAAGAAATTTCAAGTGCCACGTCTTTTTCGAGGCAATTATCAGAGGAAATGGTTCTGGCCAAAGCTTATGTGGTTATTGCGAAAGAACACAATAATCTTCATCTAGCATGGGAGCTAAGCTCAATGATTAGAAGTTGTCAGCTTTTGCTTTCGAAAGCTGCCATGGCCGGGAAGCCTGTCTCGAAGGAGGAAGCCGAACCGATTATTAAAAGCCTATCTTCTTTAATTTTCAAGGCACAAGATATCCATTATGACATTGCAACCACTATAGTTGCATTATGACATTGCAACCACTATAGTTGCAATGAAATCGCATATTCAAGCTCTTGAGGAGCAGGCGATTGCGGCGACAGTTCAAAGCAACGTGTTTGCTCAAGTATGGGCCGAAGCATTGCCGAAGAGTCTTCATTGCTTAGATGTGAAACTTACTTCTGATTGGTTAAAGAAACCTTCTCTGCAAAAACTCTCAGATCAGACGAGAAACTCGCTCCGGCTTACAGATCAGAATCTATATCATTTCTGCATCTTTTCGGATAATGTACTGGCAACATCTGTCGTTGTTAACTCGACAGTTCTCAACGCTGAGTATCCAATGCAGTTAGTTTTTCATATTGTAACCGATGGTGTCAACTATGGAACAATGCAAGCTTGGTTCCTCGGTAACGACTTTAAAGGAGCTACAATAGAGGTGCAGAATGTCGAAGAGTTTCATTGGCTGAATGAATCTTATTCTCCGATTGTCAAACAGCTTCTCAATTCAGAATCTCGAGCCTTTTATTTCGGGGCATATCCAAATGTAAACGCTGAACCTAAACTGCGGAACAACAAGTTTTTGTCTTTACTAAATCATCTTCGGTTCTACATCCCCGAGATTTATCCACAGCTTGAAAAGATTGTTTTCCTCGACGACGACGTTGTTGTCCAGAAAGACCTAATACCACTTTTCTCACTTGAATTGCACGGAAACGTAATCGGTGCAGTCGAAACCTGTCTTGAAGCATTTCACCGGTACTACAAGTACCTCAACTTCACAAATCCAATCATAAACTCAAAGTTCGATCCACAGACATGCGCGTGGTCATTAGGCATGAATGTTTTCGACTTGATTCAATGGAGGAAATCAAATGTGACAGCAATATATCACTACTGGCAAGAGCAGAATGCCGATGGGACGCTGTGGAAGCTCGGTACACTTTCTCCTGCACTTCTTAGTTTTTATGGTTTGGTGGAACCACTTGACAGAAGATGGCATGTTTTAGGACTAGGTTACGACCTAAATGTCGATAATCGATTAATCGAAAGTGCGGCTGTTATTCACTTCAATGGTAACATGAAACCATGGCTGAGATTATCTATAAGCAGATATAGGCCATTATGGCACAAGTACATAAATCATTGTCACCCTTATTTCCAAGAATGTGCTATAGGTTAAAATACAACTACTTATAGATTATGCAATCACACAGATTATTGTAGAGTCAGAAGTAGATAATTTTGACTTGAAATTACAATCTCTTGAAATAGAAAAGAATAAAGTTTTTGCCATTGTTGTTTTTATTTCCTTTTTACCTTTGATTTTGCAGTCACAGTCCCTTGAAATAGAGAATTCTTGCTATGTTATGTCTTAATACAAAGTAAGAAGCTATCTAACAGGACATGTTTAGATTAGTTTCAGATATACTCACGGAACACATCCAAAAAAACTAGCACCGAAATGCATTTTTTTTTAGATAATATAGTTCTTTTTAGAGAGTCGAAGGAGATTTAAATAAGAGGTTGGAAACTTGAAGACGAATTTAAGAAACACATGACTTTCGTGCAAGTAGAAGTAAGACGGAGTATATAGAATATAAGTTCAACAAAATAAAAAGTGTTTCTAACCTAGAGGTAAAAGTTGGAAACCATATTATCCCTCAAGTAATACAGTTTAAATATCTTAGGTCTATAATACAAAATGATGGAGACATGGAAGGGGTTGTAAAACATTGAATTCAAGTTAGGTGGTTGAAATGGAGAAAGGCATAAGGTGTTTTATGTGATTGAAAGGTACTACTAAAGCTGAAGGGAAAGTTTTATCGGACTGCGGTAATTCCTGCGAACTTGTACGGGACAGAATGTTGGATTGTTAAAAATCAACACGAGAATAAAGTAATTGTAATAAAGATGAGGATGTTGCGGTGGATATGTGGTAAGACTCGACATGATACAATTAAAAATGAAAATATTAGAGTGTCGGGATAGCGCCTACAATGGAGTATATGGTGGAAAATAGACATAGGTGGTTTCAGCATGTAGAGAGAAGACCGGTAGATTTGGTAGTAAAGAGGGTAGATCTAATGAAGAGAAGATAAACAATTAGAAGAAAGGGGAGACCTAGAAAGTGTTGAGATATTAGATATAATCCAAGTTGTATTATGTGGCCCAAGCCCAAAGCAAATTAGAGTTTAGGGTTTGTTATTTAGTTTGTTATTTTAGTGTATATAAATAGACACTTTGTAACTCAGTTATATTAATTTAATAATATCAATCTTTGCTTCTTTATTTTTCTCTTTCTCTCCTCACTAAAAGTGCCTCACGCACTAACAAATTAGTATCTAGAGATCCAGTTAGATTCTTGATCGTGTTTTCAAGAATCACACGTCAGAGATCGTGTTTCCGGGATCGTGAGTTATTGTTTATCAATCGTTGCAAAGATAAATGGTAACAGAAATTTACCAAACTCCCATCCAACTCTTGACGACAAGAATTGGCTCCGATGGAGAAAACAAATGCAATCTCTATTTGACTTTCATGAAACCCTATAAGTGGTTACGAATGGTGTTCCTGCACTTGGTGTAGATGTAACCGACACACGGAGAACCACTCACAAGGAGGCCAAGAAGAAGGATTGCAAGACAGCGTTCTACATCCAATCGCTGGTTGATACAACTAATTTCGACAGAATTGCTCATGCTGAACCAGCGAAGGAGACGTGGGATATTCTAGTCAAGTACTATGAAGGAGGCAAGAAAGTTAAGGTTGTTAAGTTGCAAATTTTGCGACGAAGATGAAAAGATTGCAGGCTATGTGTCGAAGGTGCAGAAACTCGTTCATCTCATGAAGGGTTGTGGTGAAACCCTAACTAATAAGATGATAGTTGAGAATGTAATGTGTACGTTGACCTCTCACTTTGATCTCGTTATCTTAGCTATTCAAGAATCTAACAATATTGAAACTCTAAAACTGGAAGATTTGGTTGGTTCATTGGAAGCGCATGAAATTAGGATTGTCGAAAGGAAAGGAGTTCAAGACTCGATACAAGCACTACAGGCTCAATCGTGGAAGAAGAGTGGTGGTTCCAACAAGTTCAAAGGCAAAATCAACAAGACTTAAGGCAACAAGTCTTGGTCGAATCCTCACAAGAATAAGATCGATGATAGAACTTCTGAATCCTCGAAAAGAGGAGAAGGAAATTTCTATCAGAAAGACAAGGTAGAGAAAAAAGGTGTGCAGTGCTATAACTGTGAAAAGTGGAGTCACTTGGCCAAGCATTATTCGTACAGGAAAGACAAGGGTTCGACAAAAGACAAGGACAGAGGAGCAAAACTTGAACGTCAGGATTCAGATGATTCTGATGATATGGTGGTTATGGCTACAGTTGTAGATGACCATGTCGAATCTAAGATCTGGTTCCTCGACTCAGGCTGCTCAAATCACATGACTGGTTAAAAAGTATGGTTAGTAGATTTTGACGAGTCGAAGAAGAGCAAGGTCAAACTTGCTGATAATAGCTTGTTGGAAGCAGAAGGTACTAGCAACGTAGTGATTTAAAGAAGTAATTGAGCAAAAGCCTTGACCAAAGATATACTCGATGTTCCTAGAATGAAGTGCAATCTGCTAAGTGTTGGACAACTAATCGAAAAAGGTTTCTCAGTTGTTATGAAAGATGGATCCTTTGAATTTTTCGAAATCCAGAATAACTTGGTCTTGAAATATCCTCTGTCGAAGAATAGAACACTTTAGACATGATCAGTTCGACTGAGGTACAATGTCTAAAAATAGTTATCGACCACAAGAATAGTTAGTTGTGGCATCTGAGGTTTGGCCGTCTGAACTTTAGGTCTCTAAATCAACTGATCACTCAAGATATGGTAATTGGTATATCAAGTCTTGAGATGCCCGACAAACTCTGTGAAGGTTGTCTATTCAGAAAGCAGTCTAGGAAGTCTTTCGTTTTGACTATGCCAATGAGATCATCCTACACACTCAAAGTTGTACATTCAGATGTATGTGGTTCTTTTGAAGAGCATACCATTGGTAGAAACAGGTATTTCGTCTCATTTATCGATGAGTGCAGTCGAAAGCTCTGGGTCTATGTGATCAAACAAAAGGACGAAGTATTTGAATTCTTTAAGAGATTCAAGATACTTGTCGAAAACCAGGGTGAAAAGAAAATTAAAGTTTTGCGAACAGATGTAGTTGGCAAATAAACATCCAAGATATTTTAAGCATTTTATGCAGAACATGGTATTGATCATGAGATAAATGCTCCTTATACTCCTCAACATAATGGAATAGCAGAAAGAAGAAACAATACCATATTGGACATGGCGAGATGCATGTTGAAGCAGAAGAATTTTCCAAAATCCTTATAGGGTAAAGTTGTTTTGAATGCTGTTTATATTCTGAACAGGTGCCCTACCAAAAAGCTGAAGAACAAGGTTCCTGAAGATGTGTGGAATGGCAAACGACCATCAGTGAGTCATATGAAGGTGTTTGCCTCTATCTTCTACAAGCATATTCCTGATGCTAGGAGAAGGAAGTTTGATGATAAGAGTGAACCTATGATTCTAGTAGGATATCATAAGACTGGAGCATACAGGTTGTTCAATCCCATTAATCAGAAGATTGTGATGGTTCGAGACATTCTGATTGATGAAAATTCTTCTTGGGATTCGAATTCTAGTAATGCAATTGACAAGCCACAGATGAGCTCTGATTTAGACGAAGCAAGTAATGATGTCGAAGTCGAAGACATTACTGATACTCCAGTCAAAGATGAAGTTGAAGCAGTTGCTGACACTCTCAATACAGTCGAAGTCGAAGAGCATATGGCTAGCAAAAGTCAGAGACTTTAATGAACTATAGCTCGTTCAGCAAGACTTCAAAACTATGAAGTGGTTGGTGATGATGAAGTCACAATAGATGGGGAACTAGTTCATTTTTCTTTACTTATAGGTGTTGAACCAATCAACTATAGCTAAGCTTTCAAAGATAAACAATGGAAGTATGTTATGGTCGAAGAGTTACAAGCAATTGAAAGTAACAACACATGGGAGTTGGTCGAATTGCCAGCTCATACAAAAGCTATCGAAGTAAAGTGGGTGTTCAAGTTGAAGCACAATGTTGATGGGTCGATAGCAAGGCATAAGGCGAGATTGGTAGCTCGAGGATTTCTCCAGAGAGCAGGACTCGAGTACTCTGAAGTACTTGCACCTGTCGCAAGATTGGAAACTATTCAACTAGTGGTGGCATTGGCATGCAAGCAAGGCTAGTCAACATTTCACTTAGATGTGAAATCGACATTTTTGAATGGACCTTTAGATGAAGAGGTGTATGTCACACAACCTCCTGGGTTTGTGATTCAGAAGGAAGTAAGTAAGTATATACAAGTTGCACAAGGAGCTCTATGGTCTCAAGCAGACACCTAGGATATGGAATAAGAAGATTGACTCATACTTGGTTGAATTGGGATTCGTAAAATGCAAATATGACTATGGTGTCTATGTTCAGGTTGTAGCACAAGATATAACAATAATCTGCTTATATGTTGACGACTTGCTAGTAACTGGAAATAGCTTGAAGAACTTGTCGAAGTTCAAAGAGTTGATGAAGAAGGAATTTGAAATGTCGGATCTGGAAAGTTGTCATACTTCCTAGGCATGGAATTTCAAATATCGAAGTAAGGCATGGTGCTACATCAAAGAAAGTATGTCAAAGAGATACTCAAGAGATTCAAAATAGATGATTCGACTCCTGCATCTTCGTCTATCGAACCAAATTTAAAGTTGGAGAAACATGGAGAGGAAGACAAAGTCGATGTAACTTTGTTCAAGCAGATTGCTAGATCTCTGAGATATGTGTGCAACAGTCGACCTGATATATGTTTCTCAGTCGGATTAGTGAACATGTACATGAGTGAATCAAGGGTGTCACACATGAAGACTGCAAGAAGAATCCTGAGATACTTAAAAGGATCGACAAACTATGGAATTTTATTTCGACGAGACTGTGAAAGCAAAGAAGCTATGGTTACTTGTTATTCATATGTTGACTAGTGTGGGGATAAGAAAAATTGAAGAAGCATTACTGGATATTTCTTTTAAGTATTTGGTGCCTCAATTTCACGGTGCTCGAGAAAGCAACCTGCGGTGGCATTGTCATCGTGTGAGG